GTGTGTGTGTGTGTGTGTGTGTGTAACATGAAATCAACCTGGTAGGATGGCCGCAGTCAGATTTTGATGGGCTACAAATGCCAAACACAGGAGTCCGTATTTCACCCTGGGGTGACATGGAGTCACTGGAACCAAGTCCAAGAAGCCCCTTTGCCTCATGCCGGACAAATAGTCCTCCGTCCCTGTGTGAAGTCCTCCAGTGAGTGGACCTGGGAGCTCCCCAGGCAGCCCCATTCTCCTTTGGAGTAATGATTTTTTAGGGGTTTTTCCTTTCATCAAGTCTAAATTTGTCTCTTTGCAACTTCTCCCCAAGCTCCTAGTTTGGCCCAAGAAGAATAAGTCTAATCCCTGTTCCATGGGACAGGCCCTCATGTCCCTCTCTCCCCTCCCCCAAATCTTGTCTTCTCCTAGCTAAATGCCCCACCTCCCCTCCCACCCCCTGTCCTTCACCCACCCCTCTTGTGGCGTGGTCCCTGGCCCCCCACTCTCCTGGCTACGTTCTACTTCTTTCTTCTTTTACATCGCTCTGCTTGCAGACTCTTTGGCTGTTGTACAAACAAGACAGTCTCACGACTAAATTAATGAACTAATTAAGCTCAAATAAATAAAGCTAGAGAAGCCCTGAGCCTTAGGATAAATGCCTGTTCATCTCACGCTGCTCCATCCGGAAGGGAGCCCTCGGCTCAGGGGCCCAGAGCCACAAGACACGGTGTCCTCATTCACTCCTTCATAGGGTCGTCAGCAGACTGGCTTTGGCACTGATAAACTTGCTGCTTTTTGTTTTTGTTGGTCATGAAGGAATGAAGTGCCCACTGAGGGTGGACAGCAGACGCTGTTCATCTTTTCCAGAGTAGGTGCTTGGAGAGCGATCATTCCTTAGCTATGACAGATACTGTCAACTCTCCTTGTTGTGTCCGTGTCATTCTCTTCCTTCTTCTCCCAGCACTGTCTTCTCCCCTGCCTTGCCAGCTTGAAGAATTTTTCCTCTTGGTGGTGGTTTGAAGGAGAGGAGGTTTTGATGAGGTAGTCCCTTTTCCACCTTTCCTGCCCCTTGGTGTCTTGTCCCATACATCTCTTTTTATTCTTTCCTGGTCTTCACCTTGGCCACCTCTTCTCTTCCTCCTGCCTCACCATCCACTCCTCTGCCCACCCTTCATTCACAGACTTGGTGGGACCTCGGCTTGGAGGCCTCTGGTGACAGGGAGCTTCCTGCCTCCTCATTGCACTTTTCCTGATGGGCCTTGGAGAGAAGATGCCTTTGTTCTCCTTGGGTCTGGCCTCAGACTTCTCTCACTCTTATTTACCTGCTTTCCTCTGGTGCCTTATTCAGTTTAGGAGAATCCTCCTAAAGCCATCCTCAAATACTTCCATGATTATACCTTGAGATATTTCTATTTGGGGTGTGTATGTATGTGGGGTGCTCAGTCAAGTCAGTCTCTCAAACCTTCTTGTCATGTGGACCGGCTTAACACAGGTGTCAATAGACTGCGACCCGTCTGGGCTCACTTTGCTCATGCTAGACAGGTGCATGCTGCCATGACCCTGCAGGAGCTCCCAGCGTGGCATCTCCTTCCTTGTGGTATTCTAAGACTCAGCAATTCACAGAATTTTAAAAATTGTGACTCATGGATTTAGAGCTAGAGCTCAGTGGTCATTTTGTCCAAACCCTCATTTTGTAGGTGAGGAAATTGAGGCCTCGAGATAGAGTGACTTGCCTGAGGTCACACGTGTATAAGTGGCAAGGCCAAGATCTGAACCCAGATCCTTCTGGCTCTAAAAATCAAGGAACTTCAGCCATCTTCTGTTTCATTAATGAGTAAACTGAAGACCAGATTCTAGTTTTTTAGTCTAGAGTTTTTTACCAGGCCATTTTTTCCTTACATCAATGGCTTTTCCTTACATCAGATTTTGATTGATCTAATCAGTGCACAATAAAGTCTTTTCTTCCCTCAATTTGACCCTTCTCTTGATGTAGCCCCAAATGTCAGGCAAACTCTTCTTTTTTCCTTCTTTCCTTTTCTTTCTTTCTTTTTCTTTCTTTCTCTCTCTCTCTCTTTCTCTATTTCTTTCCTTCCTTCACTCCCTCCTTCCTTCCAACCCTTTCTTCCTTTCTTCCATCCATCGTAAGTCCATCAGGCACACGACCTTGATCAGGGCTGATGACTTTAATGGACTCGTTCCCTCCTGAGCACAGCCTTTCTCTGATCCTCCCCTCAGGAGGACCCCACCTCTAGATGTGACAAAATGAGCACTGGAACAAAACAGGGACAAAAAGAGGAAACCCAGGCACCTTGCTGCCCTCCCACCTCCCCGCCCCAAAGGGAAGACGCCTGGTGACTGTCCTCTTACTTGTGTTGCTGCAGCCCCCCACTTGCACCTGGGCATCATCGATTCTGAACACCCATCGCCCGGGGATACCCACATTTGTCGTCATCTCCACGTCGACGATGTCATCGGTGCGGGAGCCAGGGATGTTGAAGTAACGTTTCCCATCGCCAGCATTGAACCCTGCCTGGGAAGACAAGATCAGCGAGTCAGAATTCCAGGCACAGAAGAACAGAGGCTGGGTTGTTGAAATGAACTGGGGAGCGTGGCCGCCTGGCATTGTGGGAGAGCATTGGACTAGGAGTCGGGAAGACCTGGGTTGGAATCCTCTCACATTCTAACTGTGTGACAGCCTTTCTCTGCTTCAGTTTCCTCATCTGCAAAACAGAGGGATTAGACTCAGTGACCTCTAAGGTCTCTTCCAACTTTAAATCTAGGCTCTTTTGAAGGCAGGGGCTTATTCCAATGACTCCCTCCTAAGCAGAGGAGATTCTGCTTAGCTCAGGGCTGGGCCGTTGGGATTCCCATTGCCCAGAAGACCAAGCTTAATCCTTCATCTGGTGGTGCCAGGCTTATCTCTCCCTGTTGCCCAGCTTGAACTCCCTCCTCTTGCCAGTGAGTCAGTAAATCCATCTTTCCTTCCTCTCCCTCTCCCCCAGCTGGCACATCCACATCTCTGTTCATGTTGGCCCAGATGTCCAGAATCCCTTTCCTGTTCTTCCCACTCATCCAGTTTCAATCCATCCTTCAAAGTCCAGCTGAAAATCTACTTCCTCCATGAAAGTTTCCATGGTGATAATAATAATAGCCAGCAATTATATAGTGCTTTAAGGTTTGCAAAAAGCTTTATATATGTTATCTCATTTACTCCTTACACCAACCCTGTGAGGTAGGTGCTGTAATTCTCCCCATTTTATAGACAAGGAAAGTGAGGCTCAGAGAGGATCATTGACTAGCCCTCTGTCCCACTTTGCTGCCATTCCATGATTATTCTAAACTTCTCCCTTTGGGACTCCTAAAGCCCTTCTCCCCTATATGAGACATTGGGTATTTCTCTACTGCCTTGGATTATAAGTTTCCTTGTCAGGGGCACACATTTTAGCTTTTCAGGCAGGGACAGTGGCTCACACTTCTGTACCTTTCATAGGGCCCAATGTGGAGCAGAAGCTCTATACTTCTTGGTAGATTAGCATAAGTTTAATATGTACCACAAGTGACCAGTGTGGGCAACCATTTGTACAGAGATGGAAACCAGGATCGTTGGTTCTGGTGTTCGGTCTGTCTGTGCTCTCCTCGTGGTGTGGGACAGCTGATCCAGACGGGTGCATGTGAAAGCACTTGGGAAAAGACAAATATTCTCCTAATCCAGGGCCTTGTTTTACAGGTGGATTCATCTGTGGGGCCGACCTGAAATGCTTTGTTTTGACAGCCTGCTGTGCTTGGAATGGTCTCTCTGGCTCAGTGTCTGATACTCTTCATGGCATCATGGGATGACAGATCTGGAAAGGACCTCAGAACCCATCCATTCTGAGCCTCTCCTTCCAGATGAGGAAACCTTGGCCCAGAGAGGTAAGTGACCTGGCAGCGAGTGGCCATTCGGGATGTGCCTGGCTCTAGAGCTGCCTGTGGGGAAGGAGGGAGAGGAGGCCCCCTGGCTGTGGCGCCCCTCCAGTGAAACCTTCTGTAACCACACATCATTCTGCGGGCATCCAGGCAGGGCCTGAGCCTGGACTCTATGGACAAGCCTTGATATCAGCCTTTTGGGAGTGTGGAATCTCACCAGGCACCCGCTTCCTTACACCTGTGATTTGTGATTTCCTGCTTGCTGGAGGCTCTCGAAATGGCCTGGGCAGAGTGCCAGGAACAGCTCAGCTGGTGGCAAACGCTCACATCCTTCTGGGCACCATTAAGAAAGAAGAAAGGGATTAAATGAAAACAGGAGGGAGCCTTTCTAGTCTGGGAGGTCGCTGCTCTTGAATGTCAAGGCTGGGGCTGGGGGTGGGAGCCAGGCTGGCAGGGAGGTGAGCAAGGAAGTGCACCGGCCAATGTAAAGAATGCACCCTGGCCAAACCTCACAGCACCAAGGGGGGGGGGAACCAGGCTCTTCACACATCTCTGGAGAAACACGCTAACAGCATTAAAAAAAAAATGACAGGTTTCCGGGAATGTGCTTCCTGTGTGCCCATTGATCCTACCTGTGCGGCAATGCCTCCCAGGCCTGCCAAGTCGCCCCCACTGCTGGCGTGCATGCCTGTGGTCCACAGGATGGACTCATAGTTGAATATGGTAAAAGACAGCTTGCCATCTGTGATGAGGACAATCTGGAAGGTGTTTACCTACAGGAAAAGAATCACAGAAGATTGAATGTCAAAGCCACGAGGAACAGAGAATGTGGAATGTCAGAGCAGGAAGTGCCCTTAGAACATAGAACACTGAATGTCAGAGCTGGGAAGGACCTTAGAACACAGAGCATGGAATGATAGAACTGGGAGGGACCTTCAAACATAAAATGCTGAATGTCAGAGCTGGGAGGTCCTTTGGGACAAAGAACAGGGAATGTTAGAGTTGGGACCAAAACTAGAATATAGATCCTAGAAAGTTAAAGCTAGAATGCACCTCAGAAGACATCTAGTGCAAACTCCCTTTATAGATGAGGAAACTGAGGTCTGCACAGAGTAAGTGCCTTTCCTAAGATCACACAGCCAGGCAATGGTGAATCCAGCTGACTTTACACATGAGGAAACTGATGGCCAGAAAGTTTCTTACTTACCCAATGTGACACAGGAAATGAGCATCGGAGACAGGATTTGAACCTCAACTCTCTGACACCAGGAAGGGAAAAGGAAAACGATGGGGGTGTAGGGAACAATGAGAAGGAACTGGGGGAGGACAGGGGAGAGGTGGGGGAGTAGGTCAGGAGGAGAGGGGAGGACAAGGGGAGGGTGTGGGGACATTGCAGTTCCATAATGATGATTTGGCTGGTGGTGAAACTGGACTATGCCATTAGCCTACAGAGGGTCAGTGGGGAGAGCCTTCAGATCCATATCTCATTGTAATGGAAAGTGCATTAGGGACTGTGGTGGCTTGTCACAGGGGTGAACCTCAAATACCAGATTTCTGCCCATGCAGATGTCCCATTCATTTGAACCATTTTAGAGTCCAGGAAGGAATAGAGTTGGGCCAGGGGAGATAGAGGGGGGCAGGGTGTGTAGGAGAGGTGTGCTGCCGTGGTGGAAACTCTAGGCCAGATAGGTGGTTTTCACATATCTAGCTCGGTGTCTCTGGAGAGAGAGACTTATGAGATTGTCATGTAATAGATTTGGAGAAAGTATGTGGCAAAAGGTAAAAATTCTGGTTACAATCAGCAAATCAGTCAATGGTGCCTCTCTCCCTGGAAGCTGCTACCTTCATTAAGAGGTGTTAGCTCATCAAAACACTATTTATCCCAGAAAAGTGATAGGTTGTGCATGTGTTTTTTCCCCTCAGGATAATTTTAAAAATGTGTTTGAAGTCTAAATCGCTCCTAATCTGAATGACAAAGTTAATGAACAAACCACTAGGTTAAGAAGACAAGTGCAAACATAGATAGAATCTGTTGATCTGAAGATCCTTAAATATATCACAGTAATATTTCATTTATTTGACATCATTGGGGAATTATGTGTTCTATGCATGAATTTTCTAGATAACCAAAGACATTTTTGATAGAATTCTTTCTAAAACACATCACATACCACACGCCTTCTTAAAGAGAGCATCCTGAACAGAATTTAGCCTTTTCTGAAAGACTCAGGGACTTCATGATGGACACCAATCCCTGCCAAACTCTTGGGGCTCGGGTGGGACCACAGTTGATGAGGCTCTTTGCCCTGTCCCAGTGGTGGGAGTGGATGCCACCTTCTGTAAGTGGCCCCAGTTGTGCTTTTATTATTCTTGAATCTACTTTGTATAGTTGTTATATCTCTTCACTGTCAAACTGTCCCTGCTGGCCATTGTTGGTGTGTGTGTGCCAGCTTCTAGCAAGCCTCCTTGTGCCTTCAAACATTCTCCTTCGGGGTGTTATTCATTGGGAAGAACATTATCTAAAAGTCACTGATTTGAGTCAGTAGGTTCTGAACAAGGGCCTCTCCTATCGTCCTGAATAAAATTCATGAGCCTTCCTTAGACGTGTCTTGTCCAACCGGTGCTTGAACAAGAATCATCTCTGCAGCACCCCTCATGGGGGCTCATTGCTCTTCAGTGAGGGGAATCTTCTCCCCTCTGAGGCAGCCCATCTCTGGGGAGTTGTTCCTGCCACCAGACCCAAACTAGTCTCTTGGTGGCATCCCCTTCCATTGCCCCTGTCTCTGCTCTCCTTCTCTATGACGGCCCTCCTTAGGCTTGAGGACAGCTCTCCTGTGCCTCTTCAGAAGCACCTACTACCCACCTCCTTACTTCCAGGTTTGTTTCTGGGGACCTAACAGGAGAGAGGAATTGGACCTCCCGAGAAATGGAGGGACTTTGGCCATGGACATTCTTGAGCCCCCAAGCTGAAGGAAATGAGACAGACTGGCTTCCATGCCACACAGGATGAGACTTACATTTGAGCAGACGGGCTCAGGGTATTTAAGACTGTGTGTGCCTTCCCCCCAAAATTATTCTAATCTAGTTTGTGAGGATAGTTTTTAGTTGCCCAGAGAGGTTGAGCTCCTGCTAGATAGGTATCCTCTAGAACTAGTACCAAGATGGTCCTTTGCCTGGCCTGTTGGGCTAGGAGAGAGAAGAATAATGCAATGAGATCTTTCAGTCAGAGGGGATCCCCAGAGGAGCAGATCCAAAGTGGTTCTGGGTGTGGCCGTATTAGGCTCTAGTGACGCCATAGAACTTGAAAGCAGAGAAAAGTAAGGGGAGAGAGGGCCGGCCGCATGAGGCCCACAGCCAGGGATTACATTTGGTTAGAAAACCTAGTTAGACTTCTTTCCTTCCATCTCTCACCAACGGCTGAACTTACCGGAGAAAATGAGCTCCCTCCGAAAAAGGTCACCTGGTGCCAGGTGGCCACAAAAACCCACTTTGCTGAGAAGTCGGGAAGCTCTGGGAAGTATCTCCAGATGTCCTCCGTGGCTCTCTGCAGGGTGGCCTGCTCCTTACTCTCCCGGTAATAGACCTCTCCAGCCCTGCGGTTATCCACATCAGCCCAGAAAGCAGCTACCACACAGCGGTCTTTAGAGATGGGGAAGGCTACCGGTGTGAATTGGGAGACTTCTTTTAGGAAGGAGATGATTCCATTGTTGTTCACCTGTTTGAGAAGAGGAAACAAAAGCAAAAAGTGTGACCAGGCATGGGGAGCGACTACAACCAGGGAACGCTCTTCCATCAATCTCTAGTCCTAGAAACTGAGTCTCAGAGGCGGAAAGGACCTTAGTGGTCAACGAACGCAGTCATTCACCAATATGGGTGGCTGTCGACTTTAGAAAGTAACTTCTGGAGATGCAGAGAGCGGGACTTCACAAGGCAGCTAGGAAGGGGTTACCCAACATCATCTGGGCCCTCTGCAGTGACACAGTACTTGTACTGCTCCCTAATTAGCATTCTGTGCCACTCACCATAGTGTCTCCTCAAACCTCCCCCACCATCATAGCTCAGAACTTTGTCTCATACTTGATTGCAGAAATTGAGGCTGCTGACAACAAGCTCCTTTTCTCATCTACTACCCTCCTGACATCCTTCTCCATTCTCTCCTCTTTAGTCCCAGGCTCTGATGTCTTTCTTATTGCCAGGGTAAATCCCTATACGTGCACACTCGATCCCGTACCCTGTTTTCTTCTCCAGCAGCTCGCCCCTGCTATCTTCTTTCTTTCTGTCTTTCCTTTTCCTGTTCCTCTCTCTCCTTCTCCGTCTTTCCCTGTGTCTCTGTCTCTCTCTCTCTCTCTGTCTCTATCTCTCTTTTCAGTCTATCTCTATCTGCTGAGTCTACAAACACAGCCAAGTCTCCCCTATTCTTAAAAAATCCTTACTAGGTCCTACCATTTTAGGTAACTGTCATCTTAGACCTCTCCTCATCTTTTTAGCCACCCTCCTTGAAAAAGCCATTTATACTAAGTACCCCCACTTTCCCTTGCTCTCCTCTAAAGTCCCCAACCTCATCACTGAACTAAAACTGCTCTTCCAAAGTTACTCATGATTTCTTAATGGCCAAATCTGATGGGCTTCCCTGATCTGCATCCTTCTAGACCTCTCTGCAGCATCTGACTGTTGGCTACCCTTCCTGGGTCCCCTCTCCTCTTCTCTGTCATGGCAGAGCTTTCCCTCCTCCTACTTGGGTGACTGCCTGTTCCTTCTCAACTTAGGCTGGTTCATTATCCACCTCAGACCCACTGGGGCTGTCCTCTAGGACCCTCTAGTCTGTCTGCTCTCTGATCTCACCAGCTGCCATTGGTTTCATGATCATCTCTGTGCACATGACTGTTCCCATATCACAACCTGCTCATAGGCAGATATTCCAAGCTGGAGGTCCTGGAAACATCTTCAACACGTCCACACCAGAACTCATTGTCTCCCAAGCCCTCACTCCTTCCAAACTTCCCACTGACTGTCGGGGGCACCACCACCCTTCAGTCACCGAGGTGGCCTCCTCATTCCTCCTCCACCTGCATACCCAAGCCATCCTCGCTCTACAGCATCTCTTGCATCTGACCCCTTGTCTCTGCTCACACAACAGTCACTCTAGTTCAGGCCCTCATCATCTCTAGCCTGACCTATGGTAACAACCTCCTAGTTAGATTCCCAGAGTCAACTCTTTTCCTGATTCTGATCCATCCCCCATTAAGCTGCCAAGTGGTCTTCCTAAAGCACGGGTGTGACCGTGTCACCTCCCTCCCCCATCTGATGGACTTTAGTGACTCTCCTAGCTCCAGGATCAAATATAATCTACTCTCTTTGGCACGTAGGTCCTTTCACAGTGGGTGCCTTTGTGCCAGGCAGTGTGCTGAGTATTGAGCATACAGAGAAAGGCAAAATGATGGTTCCTGACCTCAGAGAGAGCCTGTTTTCGTGGAGGAAACAACATGGTAACAGTTACATACATACAAGATACATACAGTGTAAATGGGAGGAGGTGTCAGAGGGGAGATAACAGAGCGAGGAATTGGGAAAGGTGTCCAGGCCCTGGGGCAGAGCTGGGAGCTGGAGCCTCAGGAGGGCATCAGCAAGAGGGCCAGGGCTGCCAGATCCTGGAGGACGTGGAGGATGGTAAAATGTACGAAGACTGGAAGGGGCTTTAAAGGCCAGACAAAGGTTTTTATATTTGGCCCTAGAGCTTATTTTGTAGGGGGTGGCTGGTCAGACCTGCACTTCAGGAAAATCAGTTTGACAGAAATTTGGAGAATAGAAGAGATTGGAGTCCTGAAGACCAATGAGCGGGTTATTAAACTAGTCCAGGCGAGAGGTAATGAGGGTCTTAACCAGGCTGGTGGCCAGGTAAGTGGTGGGGTGGGGTGGTGGCCTGAAGAGATGGTCTGGAGTTAGAATCATGGCGACGTAGCAGCTGCTTGGATGCCTGGGGTGGGAGAGGAGGAAGAGCCAAGGACCACTCTGACGTTGTGCACTCACGGAAAGAGGGAAGGGTGAGAGGCGTGGGCTGAGCCAGGAGGAGAAGCAGTCTGGAATGCCAATCAGATGTCTGGTGGGGGTGTCTTTATCCGTTCAGCTCCTCCCCTTCCCCGCCACAGTCTCCAGGCTTCTTCCAGGAAAAGGTTGCCTGGAGATCTGCCCAAACGATGGGCAACACAGGAAGGTGCCAAGATCAGGACACAATCCCCACCCTTCATAAGCTCTCCAGTGCTCCCTTCCTCCTCGGCTCGTTGCATACTGTGGGTTTCCTTCATTGATGCACAGATGGCAAGGGCAGAACCTGCTCTGGTACCTATGCTGAGTCCCTTGAGATTATACTGAAGGATTCTTCCCTTCTCATAAATATTTAAGAGTTTTTCCTTCCTGGCCCTTGAAGTGTGGACATGCTTTCTTAGGTGTGGGAGGAGGCCCTTTCCTTCCCACTCTCCCCTCCCTGCATCTCTGCTCTTCTGCCTCATCCCCATCCCTATCCCCATCCTCGGAAGCTGGTCCCCTCCTAGTCTGTTCCTGTGTCAATGTCTGCCTCATTTTTGTAGGGAACAAGGTGTGGGCTCGAGAATGGTAGCCTGCTGGGGGGTCTAGGGAGGAAGGTGGAACAGACCAGGCCTGTTCTCCTGCCAGAGATGGGCCCAAGGAAAGAGAAACAGCTGAGAAGGCGAGAGCTGAGCTGCAGAGGCTTAAGCAAACAGTGCCCAGCTCACTGAGGCCAGCTCCCTCCTCACCTGGGAGGAGACGTAGGTGTGCCAGCGGAAGCCTGGTCTTACTTCTTTGCTTTAAATAGCCAAGTTTTTCTACTGAAGGGACAAAAGAAGTTGTTTTTTCCCCTTTCAGTCAAATGTGATGCTTGGGGCCTGTCCCTAGGTCTGCTGGTCCCTGGCATCTTCAGAGTGAGAGGGGGTCCCTGGGGTTGGGAATGCTGGGGTCGGATGCCCTAAGCTTGTTCCAAAGACCTTCTCTTCTCTAGGAATGTCCCTTTCTCAAAGTGATAGTATCTCAGAATCTCAAAGCTGGTGATGGCCTCCCAAGCCATCGGGATACTCCACTCCACCCTGAAGTGGTCATCCAGCCTTTACCTCAGGACCTCTGCTGAGCAGAAACTGGCCACTGCCTCTCGTTCTACTTCAGGACTGCTATAATTGTTAGGATGCTTTTCTTTCTATGCAGCCTAGTTTTGCCTTTTGCCAACTTCTGACAGCCAGGGGGCGCCACAGGGCACAGAACTTAGGACCTGGAGTCAGGAGATGGGAGTTCAAATTTGACCTCAGACGCTAGCTATATGAGCCTGGGCAAGTCACTTCATTGCTCTCTGCCTCAGTTTCCTCACCTGTAAAATGGGGGATAATAACAGCTCTGGCTACCAGGAGGGTAATATGAGCTAATATGGGCAAAGGGCCTGTAAACCCATTGTTATTGCTGTTAGACCATTCGAGTTGACGTGTCTCAGTGCCTCTCTGGTGTGATCCACACCTGGAGAAGCGTCTCTAACGTGTCTTCCCTCCCCCTCCCAAGGCTTTCCATTCCTATTTTGGAAGCTCCATCAGGAGTCCAGTTCACCAGGGCTAGTGCCCCCTTCCACTCACAGCCCTTCCAATTGCTTTCAAATCAACTCAAGTTTAATCCAGTTCACCTGAACCATGAGCTCTGTGCTCCGCGTTGTGGGAGATACAGAGAAGACTAAGCCGTGGCTCCTGACCTCAAGTATACAGTTGGCAGTGAGATGACAGGTGAAGAGGAGGCATTTATTAGGCACCTGGTGACTGCTCGGCAGTGGGGAGACAAACAGTGGTGATCATGAACCAGTCCCTGTCCTCAAGGACTTTCCATTCTGTTGGGAAAGGTGCACGACGAACAGTGAAACAAGATGGAATGGACGTGCCGTGAGAGATTAGGGGATGGCCCTTCCTCCCTCTTGGGGGGCCAAGGCAGGCTCTTCTGACCCTTTGGCTTTCTCTTGTCTCCTATCCCGACACCCAATTCAGAGAGACGTGTACTACGTGTTTTCATAGGTGTTAGGTGAGCCCAGCCCCTCTGCTTTGTGTAACTGTGGTGACCAGCAGAAGAGCTGTGTAATAGAGCCTGAAAGGGGGAGAGTCAAAAGACCTGGGTTTGAATTCCGCTCCACTGTGTACTGCCTGTGAGACCCTGGACAAGTAAGTCTCTTCCTCCCTCTGGGTCTTAGTTTCCTCATCTGTAAAATGAGGGGGTGCCCAGATGAGCCCTAGGGTCCTATGACTGCCCCAAAGCTGGACGAGGCTGAAGTCGGTCCTCAGCATGACCGTTACGACCCTCACAGACCTTTGGCAGGGACCTGTCCATCTGAGTTGAACCTGGGAGGCTGTCCCCATGGCCCCCATCCACAGGGGCCATGCATCCACTCTCTGATCGGTCCCTTCTGGGTAGTTTGATGCCTTTGAGTTTGGTCTGCTCGGATCTTGTGCTCCCTTGCCTGTCTGCTTCTCTACACCAAGGGCTGGGGAACTCTGTTCTTCTCGGCTGCTTGGCACTCATATTCCTCCTTTGTGTGCTGATTGAGAGCCACGTGGAGACCCCGTCAGTAAACCTTGCTCCCCGGCCCACCTCCACTCCTGGAGGCAGCCACAAAAGAGACCTCCATGGGACACGAGACTGGACGTACATCATGAAGGAGGGAGGCTGCTGAACATGTGTCTGTAACTGAGCAAGTGGGCAGGCTGAAGGTATAAATGACAAGAAAAGGGCTTTTAGGTGTGTGAGGGCATTGTGATTTTTATTTTGGGCTGTATCAGCCACCCAGCAACATTTGTGGCCCCCTGCACTGTGTGTGCCAGTGCTACTATGAAAAGCCCTGGGAATACAGACAAAAATGAGGATGGTCCTGCCCAGGGGCAGCTAGGTAGCACAGTAGATAGAGCTCCAGCCTTGGAGTCAGGAGGATCTGAGTTCAAATCTGGCCTCAGACACTTGACACTTACTAGCTGTGTGACCGTGGGCAAGTCACTTAACCCTGATTACCTCACTGAAAAAAAAAATGGTCCTGCCCTCAGGGAGTCTGCAGTCTATTAGAGGTTATCCTGAGCCCAAATGGAATGATGCACAAACCTATACAGAATAAATACGCAAATACAAGGTAATATTGGGATGGACTAGCCACAGAGGGGATCGGTGAGGGAGTCATGGGAAGGGGGCCCTAGAGATGGGCTTTGGAGGATGTGAGGGATTCTGAGGGACAGAGGGGAGGAGGGTGTGGACTCAGGCATGTGCTCTAGGCCTAAGCAAAGGCTCAGAGGGAAGAGATGGCATGTTATGGGGTGGTGGGGCAGTAAGAAGGCCAGTTCGGCTGGACCTCAGAGGGCAGGAAGGAGAGCGATGAGTCCAGCAAGACTGGAGAGGAGTCAGGGGAAGAAGGTCCTCAAAGGCCAAACCTTTGAACAGAGTGGAATGGTTTTCAGGGATAAAGAATCATGGCAGCAGACCAAAATTTAGCCCCAGGGCTGGACCGCTCAGCTAAATTAGGATGAATCCAAGTGTCGCCTCGTCAGGCTTTGCTTCATTTTAAACTGGGTTTCCTGGGCCGGGAGATGAGAGCGAGCCGTCATGGCTTCTTCCACCCTGCCATTCACAAAGGCCCGGGAGCTGGGGGAGCCTGTGGGAGCACCAGGGTAGAGCTGGGCACTCTGTCCGCACCCAGTGTCAGCCCCTGCAGGCTTCTCCAGGCTGAGTTCTTCACTAAAGGACAGCCACACACACTCTACACCCTCTGATCACATACATTTAAATTGTTTTTTGAAGCATAAATTAAAAATGGTGGAAATCCATCTGTCCCTCCAGTCAATAGGAATGGACTTTCAGGTGCCATTGAGAGCAGAAAATGTGAGGAGGACTAAAGGGGCTGGACACATGGGGGATGCATCATTTTGATTCAACAGTTCAGTTCAACAGATGTATGTTAAGCAGGAAAGGTTCTGGGAAAACAGCAGTGGATGAGAAACAGACCTTATCTCAGAAATGTAATGGGGTGGAGAAGAGTGAAAACACCCGTGATAGTCAGGGAGAGAC